TGTGCTTTTCTTCTACCCCATTCCCTTTCTTTTTTTTTTCGTTTTTTTGCCCCCCTTATCAAAAAAAAATATATATATATATATATAAAAATATTTTCGTTCATCATCATCATCATCATCTTCAACCACGAGTCCACAAAGCAAAGAACGGAGAGAAGAAAGAAAAGCTATGGCCAACAAAGAGATGAAGGATAAGATCGACAATCTTGACATCCAGATGCAAAGTATGAGCGAGGTTATGGAAGGAAGGCTTGGATCGCTTGACGAAAGTCAAAACAACACCAACGCCGTTGTCACACGACTCGAACAGCGATTAGAGAAAGTCTTGCGCGCATTCCAGCAGCAACCCCCACACCATCGCGACGATCCCCCAAGGCGCGAACCGCGCCAACACGCCAAGCATACCGAACGCACACTATCCCCACGGTGCGAAGATCGACGCGAGCGACGGCGTGCGCGCGAACATGACGAGGACCGGCGATGCGAGGGTTATGAGCACGAGGAGGAGTTCGACCAGCGGTCGCAGGCATCCACCTACCGTGAACGGCCGAAGCCAGACAAGCCGAGGTTCGTATGTCCATCTTCACGGGTAGTGATCCGGAGGCTTGGCTCAACCGAATTGCGCAATATTTCGAACTGAATGAAATCGAAGGCCACGATCGAGTGAGGTACGCAACATTCTATTTGGATGGAGAGGCCAACGTATGGTGGCAGTGGCTCTCAAGGATCTACTGTAGGCGGCAACAGGTCATTACATGGGCTGACTTTGAGAGAGAATTGCTCACACATTTTGGTACGTCCGATTACCATAACTACAATGAGGCCCTCGCACGAATACGACAGACAGGCAATTTGCGTGAATATATCAAGGAGTTTGAACGACTAGCCTGTCGCGTACGAGATTGGTTTGAGGATGCGCTAGTAGGAGCCTTCATAGGTGGGTTGAGATTCGATCTAGCCGCAGAAGTCCGACTGGAGCGACCAGACACGATGCATAACGCCATTGAGGTAGCCCGACGGCGAGAATACCATCTAGTCGCTACGTGAAGGGGACGGGCGGATGTGCGATTCACGGACACGCGACGCACGGGACCGAACCAGGCAACGGCCAGCGCACGGCCAAACGTCAGCAATCGACCGGCGGGGTCGATAGTAAGGCGGCTGTCTCCCGAGGAAGTTAAACGTCGACGTGAGAAAGGCTTATGTTTCAAAAGTGAGGAGAAATTTACACCAGGTCATCAGTGTAAGCAAGCTTTTGTGATCGAAGTTGCTAATCCTGATGAGGAAGGATCTGAGGTCGAGGAGGAACCACATCAGGATAATGAAGTTGAGGGGCCCGACGAAGAAGCAGAAATCTCGATGCACGCAATGGCCGGGATTAGAGGGCCTCGAACGATGCGATTGCCGGCTTGGGTCAAGGATCGG